CTAATAGGGACAGCCATGATAGTGACCTTCTACAGTATGTTTTCATGTACTTTCATTTACCACTTGAGGATAAACTAATTTGGGGCTTTAGTGAAAAGGAGAGTTGTGCATTTTATATTAGCTGAAAGTACTAACCACCGTCAAAATATGGGCAGCCGCCATACACAAATTTCGTCTACAGGTCACAAAAGTGTCCGAAGCAAGCGTCATAGGCGGGTGTTTTTAGAAAGCTTCTCGAAATTATTGATTGGCTGCTTTTATGGACTCGAACCCATGAGTCGTCGAGACTTCCATCCGACATGAATAATCCGCATAATTCAAGAGCTAACTTTCCCGGCTTTTATCTGGTGCGATCACCGCATTTGTGCCAGAATTCCAACATTACGTTAGAACCTATTTTTCCCACATGTCAACCGATAAACTTAAAGTGATTCATAGTCAAACATAAATTCACAATTTTTCTGAAACTGCCACCAATACCTGCAGACACAACACGATGCTGTTTCAATTGGCATTTTGATAATGTAATTCCCCGTCTTGAGTTTCCCATGGCTTATCTACCTATCCTTTTAGACTTGACGCACCAATAAAATCTCCCCTAACATTTCGATCAATATTGATATTCTTCTAACTCTCCAAAAAAGGGTAGTTTCTGGGAATTAAAGATTGCTTATAGATTACTTTTCTCTTGCCATTGTAGTTAGTTATTTACTTACTAGTTATACCATATAATCTGCCTATAACATCAGGAATTGTGCTCTGATGAATGAAGTTAAATTATATTTTTAGTCAAAACTGGCGTTGGCCAACCATCACTCAGTAAAAAAAGTCAACTGTCGGCCGTCTGCATTCTCTTCCGTGCTTGCATCTTGTCAAGTTGCGCTATGTTCACATCGCTCCCTCGATAATGTGTCCAGGGGTACTGGTTTGTGTTTCTCTTACATCGACAAAACCTTTCTTGTCAACGAGGCAGAAAGGGATCCTTCAAGCGATTAGGAGTTGCAGGTAGCAGCTGAAGGAATGAGGGCGTTGATGCTGCTGTCAAGGGCTTGGTAATCGCATGAACAACATAGAATTACCATTGAGCCTTGCCATTCATTGGTCTCTGCACTCTGATAGCAGGAATTTAGTAAATCCTGCCACAAAACATCCCTGTACGTCCAACGGTTAAGTTAACGGCTTTGTCCACCTCGTCGTGTCGTCGTTGCATAATCCTCTGTGTTGCCGGGTTTGATATTTAAAGAAGAAGACAATGTGAGGAAGTAAGAGAGGTTAGTCACATTACACGACAATTAAAAATCGCCTAAGATGAAATAGGCTTGTTGAATCTTGCTAATTACCGATCCTCACCACTGTTTAGACATGCCCGACCCCCGCGGACTTCACGCTGAGTCACTGAGTCCTGTCTTCGTGCGCACTCCCGGGGGTTCACCCCGGACCTATCCCTGCATGCATAAACAAAACTCGCTAATCCTCCACGTTAATTGTGTAATGGTGTTCGACTAATTACCTCGGCTGTTTGCTAGGTGAACTCCCACGACAAGAGGCCTAAGTCAAAATTTTTCTAAGCAGAAATGTACAGAAAATCAGTGCAGTATGCAGTGGTGAATCTACCTAATTCACTGTGGATTTCAGTGCATGCTGGCTCACGCGGACTTCCGGCTGAGATACTCAGTCTTATCGCCTTATCCACCTCAGATGAATTCGAATGTTTATTCTTGCCAATATCGGCATGCTTTAGGTACCCCTTGCCAATCCTCTATGCTTAAATCTATTGGATGACTCGCGCGCCCCGATGATCAGACCCGTGACCTGAAAATACGTGGAAACAGCTGCATTGAACGACACTCAGAATCGACGATCCACTAAGGATTAGACCTTCGTCGCCTCCTGTCCGGCTCCTCGTCGAGTACATGCTGTCGAGTCACGCCGAAGCATCACCCACACCGGGGCATTCAACACACAAGTTATGAAAGGTTCATGTAGCCAGCCACCATTTGCCCTATTCCTCACCAAAAACTTACATGGGTCCAAAGAAGATCATATTTTTAACTTAGAGGGACAACATGGTTGCAGCGTATTTTAAACTTCTTCTATTGGAAAAGTAGCAAATTAAGATGTTTCGTGCCAGCAGATACTACACATGGATTGTGGAGGAGTATTAAAGGCATTTTCCTTAGTGGGAATTGAAAAGGAATTGAGTTTAGTCAGCCCGGAGTACCCAGACTGCTCGCCGTTAGACTGCAATTTTTCGTATATTTCGGGAAATGTTTCGATGGTATAGCGATTATGACCTGAATTAACGCCTAGCTACGTCTGGTCCAGATGAAGCAAGAAAACCACTGGCGAGATGGTTAGCAAACGGTGATCGTATAAATGGAGGATTCAAAAAAAAAACTTAATTTCTTACGGCAAACCAGTTAACACCACTGTCTTCAAATTCATGGAAGGAAAAAAAGTTGTGCAGTGTTTGCTGAGCGAAGGAAGAAATCGAACCTGGTGCCACTGCATCCCAAAGGGCGATAACTATGACGGTTTTTACGTGTTCTGCCATATAACCACAATCCGTCTGCAGTAATACAAGATTTACAAAGCGTGTGATCTAAATAAGGAAGCGAGATTAGTAAACGTCAATTGGTGTAGGTTAGCAGTGTGAACAGTGAACGTGACCTTTGAAGATATTTTTTTAGAAAATTTAAAATTGACAGGGTTCTAGACTGATCCTCTCCTCCACATATTAACCGGTGCTTTCAGCCATTACAGCTCTAAACGAATTTCGTAGCGCGAGTTCGGTTAGAGGAATGGAATATGTCAATTTAGCAAAGAAGACAAGGTTTCAAGTATGGAATGAGGATGTTACCTACGAAAGATGACGAATTGGGCTGCGCCAGATTCTAATTAAAAACGCAGGGAAAAAGTCTAAGTCACCATTTAAAACGGAGACAGTGATTTAACCCCGGATGCAGAACTGGAAACTTGGTACCTGATGTAGAATGCCTTAACAAATTCCTGGAAGAAAGACGTCGCAATGATTTCCACATTGTGACTGCAATGATAAATGGGTACTTTCAAACCCTCTCGTACTACCTCAAGCAATGCCATTCCGTACCCATGCATTGCCTGCTGGGTTGGACTGCCGACTTCACCTGCCATGGCGATACCATGGAGCATCAGGTGGACATCGTTTGATATCATTTACTCCCAAACATCCTGAAGCTAGGCGGCGTTTCGGCATGTCATCTAGAAGAACGTGCGTTTTTGCAATAAGCATCACTTCATCGCTGAAATTCAAGTGGTTTACTAGACAAAGCTCGAAATCGGTGAATCAGTAGGGAAGGAAGCGGAATCAACGCCTTTCCACTCAATACCGGATGACACCACTCAGATTTTTTTAAAACAAACCTTTGTAATTCCACGCAATAGTTGGTCTAAGACGCAGGACTGCGAGTAGATAAGAGAATTAATGGTGAGAAAAGCAAGCAGGCGTAAAAATGGACGTTTCTGAAAAAGGTACGCCTTAGTGTTTTCTTACCATCACCGTGTGCGTCCTCACTGGTTGGGTTTAACTTTCGTCTTACATTCATGATTAGTATAAATCATTCATTTGTCAATCAGGTGGGTTGTGTGCGCGATATTTTCAAAGCCGCCACAGACTTATGGCCGCTGCTGCAATCAAATTGCGAATTCCCTTAGAGTTTGCATTTGATCACAATTACTCCCAATGGAGTCGCTCATTCACACGTGTTTTGAGTGCAACTTGACAGGCACTTCGCGTCATGCTCTCCTCTTATCAACCTTTCACTACTCTTAGGGTTTTGATGGCAGTTACACAGTTACCAGCACGCAGACGGTCTACAAATGAAAGTAGACAGTCCATAAGAGACAATGGTGGGGTGCAAGAGGGGGGTTAATAAAGGGATTTGGAATAACTGGTACTTGCTTTTCATATGGTAGGAGGAATCATAGTCTGATTACTGTTCCGACTTAGCCAGATCCGCTTCAGTGTGCACTAGTCAGGATTTCTACCCAACCACAATCAAAATTGTAATAACGGACAAAATATTGTAGGCACATGCAAGCGTAAGTAGGATTTTAGAAGTAGCTGTTTCTGAGAATTCACCTTCTCCATCGGTAAATCCTTGCCAACAATTAACTTCAAACACCAACATTTTCTAGCTTCGGCAAAGCCTTCCTGGAGACTGAAGTAGTTCCAAGATCGCCAACTTCAATCTGGACCACTTGGCTAAGCCAATTTGAAGCCAGCAGTAGTCCAGTCCAACACTGAAGTCTCGAACCGTGTGTAAGGATACATAACTGCACGAATGTTGTATGGAAACTAAGAAGAGAGCGTAAGCCTTATGATCTGCCTACCGCGTTCCTTATTTGTGTTTTCGGATCAAGCGTTTACTCAATTAACGATGCCCTTTACTTTACCTTGTTATCATTCTCGACGCAGAAAGATGTCAGTCCAACTCGTGACACAAACGAAGAATCACAGATATCTTTTTGCAAGGCAACGTCAGCTAGTTTGCTGCCCTTGAATTCGTGAGTCGCCACCTGGAACCAAATTAATGCACAAAATTGCCATTTGTAATCACTTCCGATACTCCCGATTACCTGGGAGGTAGTCACGCAACACAGCAACGTTAGAATAGCTTTCAAAAGTGGGGTTGATTCAAGTGGAGCCCGCTGAAAACCATAACCCCTACATCCACCAAAAAAATAAAACTCGGAAAGCAACGGTGGTCTGGTTTTGCATTTAGTTCCTCTTTGCTCTATAGAAGCATTCAGAGTTGAATGGCTTTCAGGTGATGAGAACATAGGTCACAACGGCTTTAGTAAATACAAAGAACTTGTTTCAGCTTGCAGAACAGGTAGAGAATCGGGCCTGATCGTCGAATGTCTAGGGGAGTAGAAATTGACGAAAACATTGATCTATTAAAAAAGCATTTCCTGATTAACAAAGAGGGCGGAAGAGCATGGGTATCCTACCAGGACGATCACGAGTACTTTGCCAAGAAGGCCTTGTGGAAATCTGCGAGGTCTGCCATGACGCGACGCATCACCGGAACAGAAGGAAGGATTGTGGTTCTAAAGGGGCAAAAAACCGAACTTGGTGTCATCTTTAGGAGGAATTTTACGTTTCGGTAGCTGAAGAAAGCGACTGGGAGTGGTCAAGCATCTGTGTCACTTTGGAGTTGCAAGAGCACATATTTAAGCAGGTTTTTTACCAGCGAATCCAAAAAGTAGCATTATTACCTACCTGTGGCGACACTCATCATTGTTTGCCTGTCCATCAGTTAGGAGTGTAATCTTCCCTGACCTCAATTGGGGCACAATTAGACAACTTCCGAAAACGGCATTTCATTTTTACCTAGTAGAGTTCACAGGAGAAAGCACGGAATTCTTGAGAATGAGGGTACTAAAGCACTGATAACTTTCATTGTCATCCCTTGGCGCATGGATAGACTAACTCCAATGTCTATCAAAAGCATTTAGATCGATCTTTAACGAAGTAGGTAAATATCGTATACATGCAGTAGATGACTTGTTCTACCATGGACCGACTAGATGAAATTACTGTATCATAGTACTACGAGCGACACCACTGAACCATAAATCGGGCCAGATTATGGTTATTACCAGAATTCCCTCACGAATATTAAGGCGTGAGGATAAAGTCGTGCATAGCAGTTTCACTCGATTTCAATCTGACACCGCCTTGACTTGATTAACTCAACAAGAATGTAAATTGAAAGGGCAAGTTTTAACCGAAAGATCAAATATCTCTGCAAAACGTTTACCTACCAATTACTAAGTCCTTGTAGCAGATGAATAAATGTCTTAATTCAACTGCGTTATAAGATGGCTATCGGTAGTAGTACAGGCACAACAACAAATTCACAGGAAAGCGCGCATAAAACGAAGACAATGAATATGCGTTTTATATGAAAATCTGGGAGTTGGAACTACACGCCAATTTTTTCTCGAATTCGAATACTACAAGTACACGAAATGCAACAATACTCCGCCCGTGCACACACCTCAGCCATTTCGAATCAAGGGCATTCGAAAACGAAAAAAATAGGGGTTCAAAAGGCGTATGTTGATTTGGGTGGTTATTGGAGGCCAGCGGAAATCAGGAGACTGCAGGGTTAGCACATGGAATCACTAAACACTTGTGGTAGGTGTGAATCAACCGGCTTATCCACAAGTTGCCTACGAGTCCTTAAAGCCTGAACCTAAGTGTGACAGCTTCTAGAGGGGCAGAGGACGCAAACCCGATCCCTGCTACATTTATAGGGCCACTCACTTCAAACGCAGCCTAAAAAGAAAATCTACATTGATCGGGAAGCCCCAAAAGCAGATGCAAACATTGACATCAAGGAGGTGGCGCGACCTTGTTGCTCGTGCCACGTGCTGACCCAATTCGCTACCATCGGGTTCATCGCATGGTGTCTGATAAGGTAAACGGCTTAGATTCGTTATCCTCTTAACATAAATCCGACAAACGCGGCGGTTCTATCAGAATTCAAAGATTAACTTAGTCACGTTTTTGAATTTGCAACATGGGTTTAAATTCCACGAGTTTATGAAATGTGCGAAACACAGCTGGCGGTAACAGTGGAGCTAATGCGGGCTTGATAAAAACAGCTACTTCGTCATTCAATTTGAACAAAGCGAAGTACAAATGGGCAGTGTCTCGCAGCAAACTCAGCATTGTTTTTTTTGAAAACGCTTAGGACCACTACAAGCAACACTAACTGTAATTAGTGGCCTGTATCGTCTGCAACGAAAGAGTGGAAGCTGTCCCGTCACCTTACTTGCTTCCTTTCAGTAATTCCCTAAGTTAGTTTTAGCCAAGCGTGGAGCTAAAAAACGGGTGTGTAGATGCAAAAATACGTGTTAACTAGTTCTTTGACCTGGTTATCCCAGTACGGATGAAGCAAAGGATATGGTATAACGATTGTGACAATAAGCATATTTGGTGTTTTTGAGCAAAAGAGAACGGCCAACGCATTAATTAAGGCAATTTCAGAATACGTTTACTTGGTAGAAAGAGACATTACAAATGGCTTTAGCATAACAGAGAATTACTCGAACATCAGAGAGGGCAAACGGAAATTAGGAACTTCCAATAGAATAAAATACGTTCGACCTTTTTATATTTAGTGGAATCAGATCTTTCTAACAGTTAAGAGTGTTTAAATGTTTGAAGCAGCATTCAGTTACAACGCTTTCGAAAACGCGAGCACCCGTTTAAACGGAAGAGTTATCTTCGTTTAACTGAAGCCATGCTGAACATATACCTCAGGTAAGCATCGCCTACTAAGTAGCAGTGGAATTTTTTTCATTAATAATGGACTCCTGCTTGTTTAACTCAAGTGTGAACATTATGCGGTGGTAAGGGACGTCATACCTAGCAAGCCGTTAGATAACGAACAAATGCTAATACACGCAACGCGTAAAATGATCGCCCCAGGTCAATGCTGACAGCTGGTTAGATTGCCTAGCGGTTAGAGCAGTTTCTAACCCATTTAGGTCGTTTGGCCCGTGCCCCCACGATTCCGGCTGTTCGCATGTGATTTGAAGTGTAGGCCTACAGGCTGCGCACTGACTCACCCATGCTTGCAAACCCTTCAGGTCAGGCAACCCACGACAACTCCCACTTGCGTGGATGTGGTGGCAACACATTAGCGATTTGCGGTTCAGACACCGATGAGAGGATCTGGCAGCATGCTGCCACAATCTCTTCCAACGCCAGTATCACCAAAGCACAAGCGGTGTACAAACAATGGGCAAATATGTGCCAATGAAGAAACGCATTTCGCTTTACCCGTTTCAAGTTTTAAATTGTGTTATAGACATAGTGGTAACCATCACAGATTAACCTCACCGCGGTGTAGACGGCGATTTTCATGATTGTCCAATCACTTGGGATCAGAGAAGGTTGGCGCTAAGGCTTCTAGCCACTCAACTAAGCTAACAGACCGTGAAAACCTAATGGTTGGGTTGAAAATATGACCAGTCCCGACACATTTCAAATTTACCCATACAACCGTTGCTGGTCTTTGTCCTGGCCGTCCCAGGGCCATCTTCTTGGCGGATGGCGGTAAGTGAGGAATTTCGCCTGGATGAGCTGTGATGAGGCGAATGTTTCGGTGGCAAGGAAAACTCAAAGGAAGCATACGAACGCATACACGGGCATGGCAGTACAGTTGAAAAAACCGGTGTTCGCTTCGTGAACAAACAATTGGACAACCGCAAAAACGTTGATAAAAACAGAGTGGGCATAAGTTAGTCAGGCTGTAAACAGGCCATTGCAACCACAGCACTCACTGAATCAGCTGACGAAGGCATCTGGAGATGACAACCTGCGTACACATCCACCTGTGTGCCATCAAAGGGTCATACCACGCGGCAGATACCTCTCTAGTCGACTCAGGGCATGCTGGATGCGGGGGCAGGTGAGTTGACAACTGCACTAAACTGACCCCAATGAGATGTAATAAACTAAAATCCCATTTGCATTTCAGGCGCAAGCGTCTGGTTGCCATGCCAAGTAACGGCGTCATGTAACTTCAAGCCACGCCTAAAGAATACTGAATTCTTGCGTGGTTAGGTGTCAATTTCTCTAAGGTGATTATCTACCAATGCCTAAACATGGAGGATTTCAGCATCATTGCATTGCGCACGCCCTGATTTCCAGGTGTAATGGTCTGGCAAGTCATTTTCATGATGCAACAAGAGGAAGATAACTTCACAGAACTACGCATTCATCGACGAAGGATGAAATCGTCGAATCGCACTCCAGGAGACCATCTGGACATAGTTGCTGTCTGGTGAAATACACAAGTCACATTGCTGTGAGGGGATTGAGTGCTATTTTTCTAAAGTGGCGATGACTATGCAGCTTATCGAATACACTGGAAAGAGACCTGTTTTCGTAGATGGGAAGTAGGCAGTTTTGCGGACAATTCGTGGTTCTATTATTGGCAATGAATTGGGTACAAAATGCTCATTAATTGATCCTCATTCACATGGTCTCCTTCAAACACCACAGCCGCGAATAAAAGAAGTCTAATTTTCAACGCGGCAGCGAGAGCCATGAAATCTAGTGACATCACGCCGCGCCATTAGAACAGATCCATGGAATTCGTGTCGTGTTGTATTTGCCACCTGACAAGGAAATGTACCAACTGCAAGCTCTGATCTTTAGCGGAAGCAATGTTACCAGGAGCCTGATGACTATGTGTGCCTGTGATCACGTGGGTTGTAGACGGTCTCTGGGCGGAAAACACGGGGACCTTATGCTGACCCCACAGTTCAAAGACAGTGAATGCTTGTCCGCAAAGTAGGCCAGTGTAAAGTGACTATCGGCCACAATTCTGAGACCAATTGCACAGGCGGATACATGGGCGTGACTAATTGTCGCCAGTGAAGTTGGGAGTCGCTGTATTTACGATGGATTTGCTGTAACTATCGTCTGAGTGGAGCACCTAACCTGGACTGATTGAAGACAGATAATTACGATGAGTTGGAATTGACTATCACGAAAGACTCCTGTTAAAATAATCGAAATCACAAGTGTGTAGATAATTGAGATTACAGTTCCGAGACAAAAATCAGGGTAACGTATGAGACAGGGCAGTTGTGTGTCATCTACCATGATTCTAATTGACCTGTCATGTTAGAAATCGATGAATTGACTTGACACAGGGACGGTGACAATCACCTCGGAGGACGTAAATTAGATCAGAAAACTTCGAAGAACCGGGCTGTGTCTGTCGCCATTCCAGACTTCCCTATCTGCTTCTTTCTTGATGCGATCTCAACTTGGGGTAGGCGGAGTGCGACTTGTCTGTTGAGATCATAACTCTTGCTAAATTTATGTTGAAGAAAGCACATGGGAGGGGGCTGAATTTCACTTGTGGTGACTGGTGACCAGTAACGGAGGTTAGCACGCACCTGGGTCGCGCCAGTGAGAATAATATCAAATCAGAAATGTGAAATATGTGATTTCCTCGAGAGCAAAACGGCAAACAAAGAGCGTGCAAATGAGGTCTGGTGGTTGCTTTTGATTTTGTGATAATTTGTTATCATAATCTGATGCGTATGTCATTCACCAAGCAAGCCCTAGCAGTGTGAAAACACGGGGTGTTTGGTGATATTAAGAATTTACACTTCAATGTTACCAAGGGCAGTTTGTGACTTCATTTTGGGTGCGGGGGTTCGACATGTGCACGACCAATCATCCAGGATTTTGGGCCACCGCAGCCGACTTGTTAGAAGTGTTGTCAATACGATAGCCTGATGCCACTTTGGACCACTAAAGCTCTGCATAACTGGCGATGGTCAATGCTGGAGTTTTCTGGCCATGCTTTCCAGCCAAAACCTCGGCCAATGCGCCACCCGTCTTCCTTGTTGCCCACCCCAAATAATGGTCGGTCGGACGCCCTTCTTTCCAAGCCTGGTTGCTCTTTTGGGTATTTTGAGCAGCTTATGCAAGAGACTCGTGTGTTCATCCACCCCGCTCATTAACTGCCTTTAGTCGTAGTCTCAAAGCGCTTTCATTCTTGGCTCAAAGTAGGCTTTATAAAGTGTTTGGGGAAACAGGCGTTGTTTCTGTTGATGAACAAGTTGGCGTGGGTGTGTGTGTGTGTGGACAACAAAATGCGTGACTAGTGGGATGTACGCCTCATTAACTCCTGGCTGTGGGAAATAACGTATTTGTGTTGAGTAGGCACAGTCAAATCAGCACAAATGCATATGAAGCCAATGGCCACAGGTGATTTCGAAGTATTCCTTTTGGAATCACTCACCAATGAGGAGGCCAGGAAAGTGTGACATTTGCGTCAGAATAAGGTAGTGTCAATTAGATAGACACTTTACCGAATCACATTGAGGGTGGACATATTAAAACCTCCTTCAAAGGTGATTTGGATAAGTCACCTCTGGCTTGGAAGGTACACGTTTTCAACACGAAGGAGACGTAACGAATAAGTTATTCCGCACCACGAAAAAGTTAGACGATCTCGGTGTTCGTCGGAAACTCCTTCAGATTTTAAAATAAACGGAACCGCCCCAAAAAAACACCACGTCGACAAACGACCAGAGAACTGCGTTTACCTACTCACTTGAACAAGGCTCACCATAGGGGAATACCTGCAATTCTAGGTGATATTTTCTACTTTCATTTCGCTGTATTTCGACGTGGAAAGAGGAAGAGGGATCTTCATATGGAAGGGCTGAATGAATTTTTGCTGAGTGAACGTGGGAAAGTCGTAAATACACTATGCATGTAGAATTGATTGGATGAAGCACAAGAGGTACAAATAAGTGAAAAATTATGGACGGATTGCAAGACTAGTAGCTAAGTTTTCAGTAGCCAATGAGAGCAGATCAAATGTGCAACACTCACCGGAAGTGGTAGGTGCCCGGTTGTTGTCCAAAGCCAGAACCCGGTACGAAGCAGATTCCCTTCTCTTCGAGTAGTGCAAGGCAGTAGAAGAAGTCCGGTTCCACTCCCATCTCCTACGAGGGTGAAAATTAAAAATCTGCATTCAAATTAAACATCATGCTCGTGGAAGACCCTCCCACAAGGAGGCAGAAACGGTGGCATTGGTGTCGATGCCGGTCTGGTTGATAAAAGCATGACTACGCAAAGAAGAGGTACATTGGAAATTTGGTGAAAACCAGACTCCCTTATTGTGCGTCCACCACCGCAAATACAAACTGCCGTGTTCGTCTTTATGCCAGGCGGAGAGTCGAAGGATCACACAACGGCTATTTGACACCAAGTAGCAAGCACACACACCCTTTTAACCCCCAGGAAAGGTTCTAAGGTGGGCTCACCTTGGCAGCAGCAATAGCCTTGGGAGGAAGCCTAATATGTGGAAAGGCGTACATGGCTCCCTGGACAGCATTGCAAGTGACTCCCTCGAGGGCGTTCAGCGTCTCTGTGGTCAGTTTGGCTTTTTCCTTGAGATCCGCGAGGACTGCGTCGCGCTCCTTCACGAAAAGCTCATACGAAGGTTCTCCTTTCTTTGGGGGATTGCAGATGACTCCGATCATGACCTGGGGGAGATTGAGTGGTTAAACAAGGCAATGGATTTGAAGGTTGCAGCAAAGTGCATTGAGGCATGGCCAATCACGAAATGACCACAATGTCGTCCTCGTCCACTTCAAAAAGAAGAACAAATTAGGGCCCAGAAGCTGGCAAGAGTGACACCTACTCGTCGCATCACTAGATCACGCGTCAGGTTGATACTAGCGCGTGAAAATAGTAACAACATCAACAAAAATACCGACGCGGTGCTATGCGAATGTAATCAGCTCATACAACAAGAATCAAGCGCAATTCTCCGTCTCCTTGCACATAAAACGATTGCAATATTGTGTTCAGTCTGACGAAATAAGATGATGCAAAATAAACTAGACGACGAGGTTGTGACCCTTTTCAGAATAATTCCTGTCGTTAAGCATTGCGAGTGGGAAGGAAGAACTACAATGCACCTCATCGCTATCAAAAAAAGCAGTCAAGAGTTCCAAGAGTTCGTACTTTGATCGACCGAACCCTGTGTTCATGGACGAAGGTCAAAGACAGGACCGTCCGTGTGTGTAGAAAGCGAACGTGGGAAAAAATATTGGTCACTTGATGGTCTGACAATTTATAGGGATATCGATTGCTACCCAAACTACCTGACCAGCAAGGCGCCTGATAACTATCCTTGTACGTCATTACATAAGGGGGAATTGGGCGTATTTAAGTGAGTTCTTAGTACAATTTAGATGGCTGACGTTTAAGTGTCACAGATTACTTTGACTCACTTGTCCCAAGACAGCAGGGCACAGACGTGCTGAAAGGTATTTGAACAGTTGGGCCTGGACATCGGGGTTAAAGTTGATGAGTTCGCAGTAGCCTCCACGGAACCCACATTCGCCCATGTAGCCCTTGCTCGCAGACATGAAAGACGCCAGCTCGACACTATCGGCGTATTCAGGACCCATGTCGTGGAGGACCTTCTTAAAGGAAATCCATGGATTGGAAGAGGGATCGTATACATTGAACTGGTAGACCTCGTCAGCTAGGAGAACGAGTCCGTGTCGTTTGACAAAGCGGATTACTTCCTGAAATGCATGTAGGAGTAGCGGTTAATACAACGTGGGCTGAAAAACGAAAAATTAGGAAGTAAAACCATTGAAATATCGTGTGACATCAAGCTTTTTTGCGACACATTTGACCCTGATAGGGACGATGCATCCTTAGCTTTATAAATACTAATGAACATCTGCTAAGCAAGCTTTAAAACCCTGGGACAAATTAAAGCAGGGAATTCAGTTTTAACTAATGCAAGTCAATTACTGATGAAGGAATAACGCAAATGTAGGCTTGCACGTAGCAAATATATGTGACAAATAGCGATGGGATTTAATTCCCTCTCCAGCTAGTCAAATTTCACAAAACCAATCAAATACATAACTCGACTTCAAACTTTCGTTAGTTATTCACTGGAATTAATGAATGGAAGAAATTCCGTGACTGATATATAAGAATGCAAAAGAAGCTATGTCTCACCTCCATGCTTTGGCGTGATAATACCTGGCCAGTGGGGTTACCGGGATTAATTACCACAAGAGCTCGTGGTTTGCAGTTCTCTTTCGCCTCCTTTATGGCGCGTTCAAGTTCAGAGACCTCCAAACTCCAGTTTTTAGATTCGTCTAGGTAGTAATTAATCTGGGACAAAAGGAAGGAATAAAGTTAAGGGAATGGCTGGACAAGTTAAATGAACAAAGCCCCCAATGTCTACTCAGTAAAGAATAATAATGAATTAAACTAAACAGTTTTTAACACACATTTGGTTCTCTTTGTTTGTAAACTTATTCTGTCGGAGACAGCTTTGGTCAACCCAACAGTGCCAATGAATAGCAGATGCAAGTATGTATAACAGTGAGCGTTACGACAAGTATAGATGAAAATGATACCTGATAGGCGTCGTATTCTGAGTTGGTAGCTGAATAGAGTGGATACTGTGGAATCGGAACCATAACGCCAACTCGATTAGAGCCAGGTTGACAAGACGACAACAGAAGCAGAACAGCCTGTAAAAGAGTGGGGATTAAAATATTTAAGATAACGCCGAAAATTAAAATAACCCTTTCGACCTGCATACCTTAACAGCCTCACTTGCACCATTTGACAGGAAGATATTTGTTGGACACGAAGGGATTCCGTCCCGTTGTTTAATATAACAGGAAATGTCTTCGCGAATCTGCTCAATGCCGATTGAAATACTATAGGAACCTGAAAAAAAAATGTATACGATGACGGCAGGATTATAAATTTTAACGACAACAATATCACCAATAAAAAATATTAGGGTACAGGCCTACCGACACTCTTCCCAGCACAACCAGAAAGAATTTTTCGAGCACGATCCTTGGCATCATCAGGGAACTGGGGATCATCAAGTAAGGGGGGATATGCGCAGATGGCAATGACTTGTCTGAGGAACGTAATAGGTCTTTGACCAGTAGCATGACAGTCGCCTATATTACACTTGATGACTTGCTCGAACTTTTTCTTCATTCCGGACTTTAGCTCCTTTTCTAATTCTTGGGAACGGATTACAATAGGTCCTCTAACAGCATATTGCATTTGCACCAAATTTGGGTTAATAGTTGCTAACGTTAAAACGTGATCAGTGTCCTTCATTATGTCGTAATAAAGTAAGATGCAACGATAAGGATTATAAAAGCAACTTGTTTCTTGATATCGGGGCTTTTATAATGGAGACAAGTTTGACTTATAAGTTAAAACAATTCAGGTCCAAGGTGAATAAGTATATTTTATTTTAGCGTTTATATTTGTTTGTTTCTCACATTATAGGACTGCATTTGCATTAAATATTGCCTCAAGCACCTGTTAAAAGATGCTGACGTCAGGCAGATTATCCTTTCATTTGAACTTTTACTTTAAAAGCAAATGCAAATTTGCATCAACCGTCTCATTTGCATATTTGTTATTTATGGCTCCTTATATATCAGAAATAAGCACATACATTATTTCGTAAGGGTTTTAGGTCTCAATATTAACCTCACTGCAAGCATTTATGTATCGATATTTGACTGGCTTTATGGAAATACATAACAGTGCATTTTATTCCGTTGTAAAGAATCATTCTTGTTTTAGAAATAAAACATCGAAACACAATTGAAAATTTATGTGCAAATAACGTATTAGAGTAAAAAACTACGAGATCCTCTATTTTAAAACAGATCTTTCTATTGTTCTGCACAGCATTCAAATGTTAAATGCGTGGGCATATCTCAGATGGAATAGGAGTCTTTCTGTAAACGCTGTAACTATTTAACCAAAATGCACCTCGCTGGCTATTCTCAAAATAGAAGTTGGGATTTTATTTCTTAGGTCTATACGACATCTTAGGTCGAAATTCCAGTGTCCTTATCTCCAACCCAAGCCCATACAATCGAGAGGTTTCAAACTATCTTAAATCATCCTCACCTGTGTTAATTACACGAAATATGTTTCTGCATGTGATTGCAACTCATTTTGCTCACATTTATTTTAAAACTCTCCTAACTAAGAACGAGCAATACTCATCGCACGATTCCAGAATTAAGTTACTTCAGTGTGAAATTTCAATGAGGCACACGTCTAGTTCATGATCACCAATCATGAAAAGTCTGTTTGAGGTCGTCCAAACACTTCTACAGAGTTGTTCTTTAAATGTAATGTCATCCGCTGCATTTGGTCGCATTATCGGCTATTAAGGCACCCTTTTCAGAAAGAATTGGCTATATTAACTCACATATGACGGCAAAATTACTATCTTCAACTACAGCAAAAGTTCTAAATAAGTACCGGAAAAATTATGAAGACAAAAATCTAACCGTTCTCCACTCAACTCGCAATTGCATTCCTCTTTGAATAACTGCCCATATAATTTTCAATCAAATTGAGAGCAGCGGTGTCTATTGGGCCCTCGAATCTCGCCATATTTGTCAGACCACCTCTCTCTCAATTAAAGAAAACACAAACCGATTGTCTTGTTGCATAAAGTTTATTGTGAGAGGTCTTAGCAGATCCCATGAACTCAAAACAAGCAGATTGGGTGAATTCAATATCTATGTAGCCATGGAGTAGTTGCTCTTTTGAAAAGTTTTCTAAACATTTATAAATATCTCTATCATGAAACATCGACCATGACTTGTGTGGGGCAGAAACCTGGCGAAAATGTTACTACCAATGAAGGGACACTCGATAAACGTCAGGTTAATTCAAGTGGACCTCCTTTTCATGAAGTATTACTATAAAATGAGCTAGAAAACACCGTGGGATTGGAGACTATGTGGAGCTCACGTGGGCTTGATAGTCGGACTGACCACTGCAGTAAATCGGGTCAATTTATCTGAATATTTTCTGTCAACTTATGTCCCTACATTCAGTCTCCCGACGCTGATGCCCCGCCGCTAATGCGAGCGCGCCAAATCAGGTGCCACGCATGCGTATTACCCTTGTCACTCTCGCAACGCCAAAAAGAAGCGTAGTAAATCGTGCTTATTCACGCTCATCCGCTCTGTCGCTGTACGTTCCAACTCACGGCCCCCTTTCCACGGCGCTCCCGTTAGCCATGCGGAATCGTTTGCTCATTCACCCCTCTTCGTGTACCACCACCACCACCACCACCACCACCACCACCACCACCACCACCACCACCACCACCACCACCACCACCAC